TGAGACTGTTTCATTCACCATTTGTCACTGTATGTCTCAAAGTTACGTGGCGCTACCTGGAGCACTTAAATAAGAGAGAGAGCCAGGTAGTTGGCACAGTCGATAAAGTGCCAGGCCTGAAGTTAGGAAGACTCATCTTCCTGAGTTCAAATCTGATTCAGACACTTACCAGCTGTGTTACCCTGGGCAAGTCACTTCACCCTGTTTGCCTAGTTCCTTCTCTGTAAAATGAGCTAGAGAATGCAACAGAAAACCACTCTAGCGTCTTTGTGAAGAAAACCCCAAATGGGGTCACGAAGAGTCTGACATGACTGAACAACAAAGCTAGATACTAGCTCTCATTTTAAGTGAAATGGTATCTTATCCCCCTATCATTGTCATGGGATGAGGAGAAGACCAAGCAGCCAATCAGAATTTTCTACACCATACCAAAGCAATGAGTACTTTCAATACTGGCCTACTGTGTGGCCAGAAGCAACCAGAAAGTTTGACATCCCCAAAGGATCCAAGCATTGAATCATGACATTGCTGGAGTCCTTGGAAGGTTCCAAAGGTGCTCCAGGCATATGATCCCTAGCATAGTCCCTACAATGTGTTCAATTCAGCATCTGTCACACTACTACAACATATATTCACATTTACTTGAAGGGAATTCACATCAGAAGAGTGGAACCATTAGCAGCCGAGGCTTAACTGAAAACCTACCATGCAGACACATAGAACTCACTTCCACAGCATAGACCTATCCAGGAAGATTATCCAACTTGTGATTATTTTTGCTCATGCTTCCCTTATTCTGTGCCCATCATGGAGGTTTGAATATAATAGATTTTATTAAGCCAGTACAAGCCCAGTTCCTTCTACCCCCTTTTTTTTAAGGCAGTGATTTATTTTGTGCTACTGCCATTTTTTTCATTGCAGCAAATTTACCCATTTCTGACACAATAAAGATCTGTTCTGGAAACTGAATAGAAGGAACAGGACAGACATATATTTTAAAAATAAGAAGTAATCCATTTTTAAAAATTACCTGGAGAGTGTCTGGAAATTGACAGAAAATGAGATTTATTCTTATATTAGTCACCATTATCAAAAAACCCCTAGTTTGGAAAGATTGTACTCTTTGGAACATGGCTACTTGTGGTAGTTGAGGAATGGGGCAGAAGAAAATGAATGGTTTGGTATAATATTAATATCCTTCTAAGAAAGCTTATTATTGTTATTCAGTTGACCCAACTATTTATTCATTGCGGGAGAATGTGAATTTTACTCCGTGTCTTTGGGATTTGGCAATGTTTTTAGAAGAAACCTTTAAAATTATGCAATCACACTGATGGTATATATGGAAAAGTGTATACCAGAAAAAATGTAAATAACAGTATAAACACAACCATGTGGATACAATGGTGAAAATATAATGAAAACCATGTTAGCACCAGAACATAACAAGAGACAATAAAAAGGAACTATAAAAAGACAGAGAAAAAAAATCTGAAAGTACATCTCCAACATGGTTGTTTTTCACTATTGCATGTTACTTATTAGGGACCCTTCTTACATAGAGCACTTTGCTTCATTCCTCAGTTCTTGCTCATGCAAATCCCCAGTTTTAGAAAAGCAGCAATTTTTTTCCATGCATGAACAAAAGCATGAGGTTCTTAAAGGAACTCAGTGAGCATCTGACCCATTCTTAGATGTTTTGGATATTCAAAGTAGTTGAAAGGAGAGCTAAGTTTGTAATTTCACCCCAAAAAAGTGTTTCTCTAGTAGAAAGTGCTAAATTTAGTTTTATGCAATATAAATAGAATTGTGTTCAATAAAGAATATGCCTAAGGTACCACCAAGTCCATCTATATCTACTGGATGGAAGCAAGATGGTCACTTTAGCATTACTTTACATATTTTATACTGTTCTAGCAACTGGAACCATTGCTGTATCCAAGGGGCTAGAGATCTTTGCTGATCCCCTCTCCCCTTACGAGCCTATCTGCTCTAGACCCATCAATATATGTGGTCTGGACTAGGTTCAGCCCTTGTGAACCTGACCATCTATAAGAGAGGTCAGACTCCATTTCTCTTTCTGACTCATTATTCTTCCCCATTCTATTATTTGGGCAATGATTTACTTTAAAAGTAAGTTTTATTCCTATCTAGGTACTAATAGATATGAAATATTAATTAGGTATGGGATAGCTATTTATTTTGCACACACAAAATAAATACATAATGCACAAAACCCACAAGTGTGAACTAACTGAAAACTTAATAAGCATAACAATAAAATAACAGCTGTAATACTTTTCCAGAAGTTTGCTACTTACAATATCTAGGCATAATGTAATTTTGGGGACTGCTGAATAGGCATTTAAAAATTTCACCCTGGCTCTGCATTTTCCAAATAATTCCCCTAGGTCGTTTGGCAAACAAGGGTCAAGGGATTGAATTCCTCCCTTTGCTAGTATCCTCTCTAGAGATGGGGGAACTCCCCCCTGCCACCAGTCAATTCTAACCAAGAGATCTAGGTTCTACAGCTATCAAACTCACAAGTTTGCCTCTAAAAGTCCAATGGGGGATTGTTCTTGGTCATCTATACTCAGAGAAGAAGATACAATATGGAAAATGCAGTCAGGTTACCTGGCCAGACTCAGCTCACCTAGCAAGGCATCTGTTCTAGCAGCCTATATGGCGGTGTCATCATGTTTCTGGGATGGGAGTAAAGGCAGCCCTTTCCCCCATCCTTCATAGGAAAGGTTCTAATAGTTATGGCATGGTCTGTAGCCAGGAGGGAAAGAGGAAAATGAGGGCAAGTCATTCCCTTTTAAAGATCCACTGAGTCAGCCACTCTCCTTGCTTAGTGTCCAATACAGAGATTGCTTCATCATCCTCCAAAGAGCCAAGTGGTGCAGCAAGCACATGTGGTTGGCCAGGAGCAGGCAGGGAACTGTGTATTGCCTCTTACACAGTCAAAAAGAAAGTTTTATTTTAAACAGATGTGAGTGAATTAAACCCAATATTTTCAAGTATTTTAGTGCCATGTGATGTCATCTGACAGTATTTTATATGATGGATAATGTGTATTTTCCAAATAGTAAAGCCATCTTTATGTATATACTTACATTTTTGTACATGACAAATAAAAAAAAAAGACAATAAATTGTTGGACTGTTTAATGAAAAGCAAAGAGCCAGAAATTTCCAGTAGCAAATGGAATTATCCTAGTGTCAAATGCCTTCTCTGATTAAGAAACTCTGTATGTGAACTATGCTTTTTCAAATAGGTCTGGGGACCCCCCCAAAAAAAAGCAAAAACAAACCAAATAGGTTTGGGGAGCTGGCATTTCCTCTCTAATTTTCATTCAAGGGATGGTTACCTCCTTTATTTAACACTCAGTGTTTGGTAGTACATTTAATGATTAATCTGGTGAACTTCGCTTTTCAAACCTTATTAGTATTTCATTTCTGGAAAGAATGATACAATTATCACTAACTCTCCATTATTAAGTTATCCAGGAAAGTGCTTTGTTTCTACTTTTGTCTTTAGGGGACAATAAAAGGATAATGTCCTTGGTGCTAAGAAAGAGTGGTTTCCTCACATATGTCTCTGGTGATTAGCTTCAGCCAAACAATCAAGGAGCAGCGAACAGCATGGTCTTTAGTATAAGATGATACATCTAAGTTACGTGAACTTCCTTATACTGTCTTGGCTAGAAAGTCTACTGAGAAGAGAATTTCTCAAAAACCATTTAAAGCTTTCCAACAAGCAAAAATGAGATGTTTGTGAGCCAATATTAGTATAAATGTTTTCACTCTCAACTTTAAAAAATAAAGGAGGAAGGATAGTCATTAGTCTTTCTATTAACCCTCCCCATCCCCCTTTTGAAAACAACAACAACAACAACAACAGTATGCTGGAGTTTATTATTATGGTAGATTTTTGGATTGCAGTTTGAGTATATTAAAAAGAGTCTCTAACCAAAAGTCGACCTTCTAACCTCCTTCCCTCTTTTCCACCCTTCAGCATGTGAGTGCAGGTTGCTCCTTCACCGTAGAAAGAGGTATGGTTAAGCAGTGAAGCTTTCTGTTTGTGAAGCCCCTGGGGATGTTTGAGTGCCATGCCAATGATAATTATTATCCTAAGGTACTTTTCAAGCAATATGCTACTACAGGAATTATGCCTTCTCCATATTTCCTCTTTTTCCTTCCCACATTCTATGTGCTTGGCATCACTGATGCCCTGAAACCCTTCAACAGAATTAAGAAAAGAAATTCCTAATACAAAAGATTAATTTAATTAGGAAAGTAGAAAAGTAGTAAAAAAAAAAAGGCAAGGAGAAAGAGGAGAAAGAAGAAACAAGGAAAAGGGAGAAAAATGGAAGAGCCAAAAAAGGGGCCGGACAAGAGAGGGGAAGAAAAAGGGAAAACGATTAAAAGAAGAGGAAAAAAGCAAATGTATGGGTAGAGAAAGGCCTGGGGGTGGCAGGGGGGAAGGTGAAAGCTCAAAAAGAGAGAAGGCAGGTTACAGAAAAAGAGCTTAAAGAATCAAGGGAACAAGAGGAGCAGGAGAGGAAGAAAGAGAGGGGTGTGTTTGTGCTTGTCGGGAGGTGGAGTGGTACCGGGGCTCTTTCAGCACCATGGGGGAGGGTCGCTGTCAGTCAGAATGGAAATACAGCGCTAGCAGATCGGCTGAGGAGGAGGAGACGGAGGAGGCAAGAGCAACAGCGGCTAATGCAGCAGCAGCAGCAGCAGCAGCAGCAAGTCCCTCCAGCTGCGTCCCCGCCCCTGCTCCCCTGTTCTTCCCGGCGCCTGGAGGTGGCTTGTGGCTGTGGCCGTCACGTGGCGGTCCCCCTTCTCTTTCGCCGTTGTCTTACTCCCACCTCGCTTTCCCGATTCTCTCCAGCCCCCTCCTAAACTCAGGGCTTGGGAAAAGAGAACGGCGCCCCAGCCGCATTGTGACGTAGGGAGGGAGCCAGCAGCAGCAGCTGCTGCTGCTGCTGCTGCTGCTGCTGCTGCTGCGGTGGCGGTGTCTCGCCTGCCGGTAAGGGCCCTTTGCACGGGAGCCTGAACGAGTGCAGCTGGAGCAGCCAGCAACCGTCTTCAGCATCATCGTTCCCACTCAGGAGCAGAGTTCTAGGGCACCTCGGGTGAGTTCAAGTTCCTCTGAACCCAGGTCCCAAAGCGGGAGGCAAAGGCCTTTGCTACAGGCTCCTACAAGTTTGCATGTGTGCGACCCCCACCATACCAACCACTTCTCTCTCTGTCTCTCTATGTTTCCCTTTTGTACCTCGCATCCTTTGCTTGCAAGGGAAGAAAAAGGTAGTTTGGGGCAGTAGAACCAGTGCCAGAGTGGCTAGCAGCAGCTCTCTCTTGAAAGGGTTTAGAAGATGTATCTATAGTAACAGTGGCCGCTGCCAAAGGGGCTGTTTTAACCATGGAGGGAAAATTGCACCAGCACAGGAATTTCAATCTCTGCCCGCGGATTTCAATTGATTGTTCTCTTTTTATTACCTTATTTTGTATTTACCAGTACTAACACTATCAGTACTACTACTGGCGATGATGTTGGTTGGGACGATTAAGGTATCCAATTAAGAGGTCTAACAAAACTAGGGGGGAGGGAGGGGGAAAGGAGAGAGAGAGAGAGAGAGAGAGAGAGAGAGAGAGAGAGAGAGAGAGAGAGAGAGAGAGAGAGAGAGAGAGAGAGAGAGAGAGAGAGAGAGAGAGAGAGAGAGAATCTGAGAATCTTTTTACTCCTGAAACAGCCTGGGTACCACACTATATGCTCTTTCTACCCCAATCCAGGCGAACTTTGACATCTTCATAACTCATTCTTCTGGGGGCTTGTTTGTGTTAGCTTGCTGAAATGTTTTGTGCTTTGCTTACTGTCCTGGTGAATTTCATGTGCAGGTGTTAAGTGGAGTAAAATGGTAGTTTGGCTATTGTCAAATGCCAGGTTTCGTTTGCTTAATTTTTTTTTAAGAAAAGAAAAAAGGGGGGAAATACTGAGACATTACTGGCAGCCATACAGTTTCCACAGGAAATACTAGCATTCTTTGCTGAACTCACTTGCAAGGAAGAAAGCCTGTAGGAAAAGAGCAACAACATTGTGACTACTTTTCAGGGGATGATTAGTGAGCATATAACTCACTTATATATATCCCTCCCCCCTCCTTCCACCACACACACACACACACACACACACACACACACACACACACACACACAATGTTGTTTGCCTTGAGAAAGTTGACTAAGGAAGGAAGCATTATTGTAAGAGTAATTTTCCTCCTACTTGAAGTAAAGCCCTGAACTTCTCTCCCAGCTTATGACTGACAGGTAATTCTAAAGAAGGGAAAAATTTTAACAGGACTGTTTTGTCACACTCTATATGAAGTGGAGCCCAGTCCAGAGTGCTGTTTTCTAAATGAACTTGGGACAGTATCAGGGAGTTTTATTAGGATTACATATGTGCAAATTATATCAATTCTCCAAGTGTCACTTTAAATGCACAAGAATTTTCTCTGTTGAATCAGCAACCAGGTAAAAATTATTTTTCTTATTATGAAGTACACATCTCTGTTGGGACTAAGTAGAAATCTGTATTTCATTTATGTACTGAATTTCAAAAGGCATAAAAAGCTAAGAAAGCTGCCTCTGTGTGTGTATTTTGGTGAATATATAGTCTGCTCCATCTTTGATTAATTGCAAATGAAATTCAACATTATTTTAGTTCTACCAAGTCCCTGCACAGTGTCCTTAAAGCTTGCTGGAAAACAGTTTTATGTAACATTGTAATAACAATTACAGCATTCCCTAACAAGACTTATATTGATTGAGAATTTACACATACAAGAAAGTATGCATCATGTCCTGGAAAGAAAAAGACTGATTGTCCTTAAGTTGTTAGGGATGTAAAGCATGTAGAAGAAAAACATTTATTCCTTGCAATTTTTTTAAAGGAGGGAAAAGGAATCTAAACATGAACTTTAAATGACTTAATGTCATAGTGTTGAAAGGGATAAATAACAGCATAATAGTTTGGAATTGAAGTTGTTTTGTTACTTTGATGTTCATCCTTTAAAAATGTGCATGGGGAAGTGGAGCAAACAAATTTCTTTTACTATGTAGCAGCCTTGCTAATTTCAGGCAGTGATTCAAATGTAATTATACACTGACAAAACACAAAGTATATGGCAAGAAACTTTTTACTCACTGTTATTTTGAAAGGAGTTGTAGCATGTTTTACTGATGTTTAAAGGGAAGTAACTCACACAAACATCTAATATAAACAAATGAACTGTGATATTATCAGAAAGAGCCTGAAGTAGTTTGGCTTGCCAGATTTAAGACATTTCTTTGTCAGGGGAGTCAGGGGAGGAAATCTCACATAGAGCAGGTGCATCATTATAAGAAACACAAGGGAATTTGTCTTTTAAATGCAAAATCTTATTGAACATCGACAAGACAATAAATGACACTAGTAAAATAGAGAGTCTGTGTGTTTGGCAGTCTGTCAATCTGTAGTTGTAAAAAAACCATTTATTAGAAAAATGCATCCTAGGATAAAAATAGGTAGAAATTCAGACAGACACTTGCTTAGAACCTTTGTAAAATGTATGCTTGCTGCTTCTTTATAGCGTCTGGCTGATTTGCAATTAATAGGAAGTAGCTTACAGTGAATAAATAAATTGATAACCAAGATAATACACATATTACCTGGTTGACAATTAAATTTTATTTTCCTTAGTTCATGTTTTTATTTATTTGACATCAATTTGCTTTCAGCTTTTAGAAGCAATTATTGAAAAAAATTATTGAAATATTGGGAGAAACTCAATATTGTGTTGGCCTTTTCTCATATTCCTAAAACACATTTATTTCAACATCTATTTATTGAACTTCTTTATCCTAGGTGGGTGAGGTATACAAAGGAATATAATAAGCAGTCCCTGGTCTCAAGGGATTTATAATCTAGTGGAAGAAAGAATACATGCATGTGTATAATATTTTTTTAAATGCAGACAAAAAGTGCTAAAGGCACTCAAAGGAAGAACAGATTGACCATTATAAACTGGAGAGATTAGGAAGAATTTTATAGTTTGGGTGGAGCTTCAGTTGAGCCTTGATAAAACTCTCTTCTTTGGAAGGAGAAAAGTTTTCCAAGGGAGAACAGTAGCATTACTCCAAAATAGAATACAAATAAATGCACACAAAAATACATACACATGCATAAACACATATGTATGTATCTACATGTCTGCCTATATATCTGTCTCTATATTTGATTCCCCTCCCACTCTTCATGATAATTTTTTTCCCACTTGAGAAAATTGATTAAAGGACCATTGCTTTTGATTTCATTTTCCTGTCTGAAACAAATGTTCATGAGAGCCTCATGCCACGTACAGATGATATGCATGCCATACTATGTCTTGATTCAGGTCCTCTGATTTCAAATCTAGCGCTCTTCCCACTGCTAGATGACTCTTCCTACTCATTAGAATTCATAATTTCTATATCTAAGCTAAAGGAAAAGTTTTGAGAGTCAAATTCCATTCTCTGACACCATCTTCTTAGTGACCTGTAACTTTCTGTGTCATCCTTTCTCTTCCAAGGTCTCCACCTTCAGTTACTAGTAATGTATCCTCAAGTTCTTCATTTTTTGCCTAGGACTTCATAATTCCTAGGAATTTCTTCTAGGTTTTTTTTTCTGGTGATATTATTCATTCCTACAGAAATCATAAACAATAGATGTTGGACATTAGATTTGACAGCTTTGAAAAAGCTTTGTATCATATCTGGAAATATACCTATAGAAAACAGTACATATACAGTCACTTCAATGTCTTGCTACCTTTACATCCCTCATTCAGGGAGTCACTGACCACCAGGATACACTTTCCTGCCCCTACTTCCCCTGTAACCCGTAACTGATATCTTTACTACTGGATATTATGTGTTGATCCCTTCTTCTTCTTCTTCTTCTTCTTCTTCTTCTTCTTCTTCTTCTTCTTCTTCTTCTTCTTCTGCTTCTTCTTCTTCTTCTTCTTCTTCTTCTGCTTCTGCTTCTGCTTCTGCTTCTGCTTCTTCTGCTTCTTCTTCTGCTTCTTCTTCTTCTTCTTCTTCTTCTTCTTCTTCTTCTTCTTCTTCTTCTTCTTCCTCTTCAGGTAACTCCTAGGTTTTCCCTTTTTCTTGAGAATACACATACACACACACACACACACACACACACACACACACACACCACACACATGCACACACATACCTATCATCTCTCTCTCTCTCTCCCTTTACCAACCTATCTTCACTGGTTCAGGGGAACTTCTTTCCCTGTGTCAAATTCTTCCACTCTCTTAGACTTTAGACTAGGAATTCTTAATCTTTTTGTGTATGAGATGGTTCCCTTTGACAATCTGATGAAGCCTATGGACCCCTTCTCAAAATAGTGTTTTAAATAAAATGCATAATATTACAAGGGAAACCAACTCTATTGAAATAAAGTGCAATTTTTTCCACAGTCACATTCATGAATGGTTCATAAACCCATACTCTGGACTATGACTTGGATTGCCTTCTGCTTGCTCATAGTTATTTTCTTCTTTGATTTCCATTTGGAACATTTCTTCTGTCATCTCAATATATTTAATGTTAATTGTATCTAATTTGCTGATTTAAATAATGAAGGGAGGACCCCCTATGAAAGAGATTGTTCAAAAGCCTGATGACTTGAACTACCTATGAAGTTTTAGGATGTTGGAAATAGAATTCAAAGAGCCACAAAACAAAGATTTTCATGTTCAGCAGTTATAAGAAGCAGAGGAGCTAGAATTGTGTTATATTTGTCTTCCTTCTTGGGGCAATTAACAATGATGTGTGTGATAAACGTAAAAATAAACACTAGGTTTTTAAAGTGGTACTCCTTTTAGGTTTTTTCCCCTATTCTCAGATTTCTGTTATGGAAAGCTAAAATGTTAGGCCAATAGACTCTGAGGCAAAACTGAGGCATTTTTTTGAACATTTTTGAGCTGATACTAAGTATATATATTTTAAATCTCTGCTACTACAACCACCTGGAAAAAGAAGGTGAAAAGTATCACTGACACCAAGTTATGTCTATAGACCAATATCTTTGTTATAGAGGCCA